AAACCTACAAATTTATTAAAGAAAGTCACAGAAAGGACAGAAAAGGCGAGGATTTCACAACTTAAGATACCGCTGAAAAGTATGCTACAAAAAATCTTAAGCTCTTAATTTGTGCACTTTTAATTCCTTTAATTACTTTAATACACATTTTCCAATGATTTTAAAGCATAAATCAGTTGAAAATGTACAAATATATTCAATATAATATATAAATAAGTAAAAAATAGAAAAAAGCTACATTTGTGAAGCTAAAATTCATCTAACCTTGCATTATGATTATTCATACAGGAATTTGATCATAACTAAGCCAAAAACGCATTGATTTTAATTCGGAAAACTGTTCTGTGTTAGTTTTTGTAAGATTTATAAATCTGCATATTGAATTTACCAATTTAAAAAATTTTAAATTTGGTCAATTTTTTATTTGATGAAATCCCTTAAAAAAAAAATTTGAAAAAAATTCGAAAAAAATAAATTTCTACCAGAAGTAGCTAGAAAGATTCGCCTGTTGATGCTGATAAAGAATATATATGGTTTATAGGGTCGGAAATGACTCCTTCACTCAGTTTTAAGCTTCTGATTGAAGGTGCAATACCATTTTTAATCGATATTACCTACATTTTTTATGGAAATTTTTTCGCCTAATCAACATTTAAAAAACGCATAACTAAGCCAAAAATGGATTAATTTCAATTCGGAAAGCGTTCGTGTGCTAATTTTTAGCAGCTTAATAAAACTGCATACTCCATTTAGTGTGTGAATTTTTGTCAGATTTTTTAAAATTTTAACAATGTAACCCCTTTCCTTTTTTTCAAAAATGGGACATTTCTGAAAATATTTCTTTTTGCCCGGATATAGCTAGAAAGATTTGCCTGTTGATGCTGATCAAGAATATATATAGTTTATAGGGTCAGAAACGACTCCTTCACGCTTTTGACTAAGATTTATATATTAAAATATATATATTATATTATTTTTAAAAAGAAAGTTCCCTATTAATTAAGCAATTTCAAGTCCCACCATTTTTTTTCCTTTTTTTTCATGTTGTACTCTATATTTTCTTTGTTTTGTGTTGCATTATTACCCTTAACCACTGTTTAACATCGTACTCAAGACTCTATAAAAAGCGTTAACCATGGAACACCATGAAAGTGAGTGTTATACGGTAATAAGGCAACGGCGTCACAACCCATAAGAAAAATTGTGATCATCCCTCGACCGTAAATTTTGGTATCCGTGTTAATTACATGAACTCGAGCATGACACCAGAGTCTCAGAGTCTCCTCAACCCTCCTTTTCAACAATTTCTACCCTCTGCCACGTGACAGAGAATGGAAGGCAGCGACAGAAATCGACATCCCAACATGCAAATCAAATTATTTTGGCATATAAAATGCTTATTAACAGATTATATGCTCACTCAATATTTACTGACTGACTGACTTGACTTTGGTGGGGGGGGGGTATGGCTTTTCCCCCTTGATTTTCCGCGTAGGCAGCCTTGTCATTGTCTTGGCCTTGTGCCTTGTGCTTGGGGGGGAAATGGGGATTTTAATACCCTTTTTAGAGGGTATCGATAAGCACTTGGGCCTCACTTGTATTCATATTAATATATCTATATAAATAAATATATGTATATTTATATTTATGGGGTGATAACACTTGGCCATCAGACAACAAAACGTTGGATTTCAATATTTGTTTAAGTCTTTACTGGTGGAATATATTTATATATATATAATATAACCCAAGCAACAATATAGATACCAATTTATTCCAGTTAAATAAACACAATTTCTCAAACTTATATTAACAGATTACAAATATTTCTTCCTGGTAGAAACAAATTACTACAATAAGTAATGCCATTTAATTATCTATGCAAACTGAAGAGGAAAAAATAAATACTTTGAAAATGAAAAACCTTGCCCGGTTTAATACCGATTTCAAAGAAAAACTATAGAAAAAATGCTTCGGTAAGAAGCTCCTGGAAAGAACTCTGAATAGACAGGAGCCTGCTGCTGCGATAAAAAATTTCCTTCTGAGAAAAAAAAATAAGCGGAAATGAAAAGCGCCCGTAGAAAAAAAATAGCAAAATAAGTAGAACCCAGAGAAATATTCAGAGGAACTACTATTAACTGCAGAAAAATTTCATACAAAACTGAGCTGGAAAATTCAAGGAAATGCAAAAACAAAAACTCTAATCTCACTTAAGAGGTAAAAACAATAGATAGAATGAAAATTTATTTAAAAATATATTGAATAGTAATTTAATCAATAATAATCAAAGAAGAAATAAAATACCAACAAGAATTTCTTTAATAAATAGAAAATCCATGTTAAATATATTTAATTAATTAATTAAAGCTTGAATCTGTATATATTAATTAACTCCACTATTTAATTATCAACTTTCAACAAGTTAATAAATAAATTAACCTACCAAAGACCTAATTTATATTCAAAATAAACACTTGTTTGATGTTTAGGAGCCTCCAAAAAACCCTCAAGGAAATACATGAAATTCCCAAGTCAAACTGGTATTTGCCACTTGTTTCATAAAGTTGAGCTATTTAGGCCAAGTTTAATTTAAATTTTGCAATAATAGAGATCATAATAATACAATATATAAATAATAATAATAGAAATAATAATAATCAAGGTTAGCTGCTCTCCCCTCACATCATATCCATCAGGCATTTCATTTGCAGACAGCCACGCAAAACAAACCTAATTACACTTTACTTTCACTTTCACTTTCACTTGCCAGCAACAGGAGCCACCAATTGGAGTGCAGGGGGGAGGGGGGGAAGGCAGGAAAAATTGTAGGATGAAAATCGGGAAAATGGTTGAGGTAGTAGATGGAAGGGCCAGGAGACTAGGACGAGAAAAACTTCAAAAGCTTCTGGTCAAAGCAAAGTTTGCCCGCCTTGGCATATTTTGCGTAATATAAATTTTGCGCGCTGCTTCTGTTTTTTTTTTTTCTCCTTATTTTATTCTCCCCCCTCTCTCTTCCTTTTACTAATTTTTTTATTATTATTATTTTGTGTACAATATTCTTGGCCTTTGGCCAATTTGGAAAAGCCAATAAAACCGTTTAAAGCGTTGTCACAGACTCTACTCACTCTCACTCTCTCTTTGGGCCAACTTTGGTTCGCAGACAAACAATAAGGAGACAAAATGTGTAAAAAAATACACAAAAAACAAAAAATAAATATAAAGGACTAAGTAAAAGAGCGAAGAGACATTTATTGTTCATTTGACAAAACACAATGAACATTTTTATATGCAAATAATGCGACTGCTCCTCATATGTTGCTGCTGCTACTTCTGTGTGTTGTAAAAGCGTTTTTCAAGCGCTTATTTGTATGTGTTTTATTTAAATAATAAATGGGTTCACTTCTCCCATGCTCTCTCTATCCCTTTCTCTCTTTTTTCTCCTCTTTTTCCCTTTCAAAACTCCCTCTTTCCAACTCCCCCTCATTCTCTTTCTCTTACTTCTTTGCGTTCCTTGGAGGCGCTCATAAGTAGGCAATGATTTTTGCTTTGTGGCTGCCGAAAATAAAAAAGAGGGAAACCCCCCAAGAGATGTGTGTGTGTGACGATAGTCTTTTAAACAATCGTTTTCTTTGTCAAGTTATCTATATAAGAATAAATTTATTTGATAATTCATTAAAATAATTATTGAATTAATCAGCAGAAGAGCAGAATATATAAATTATTAATATATCTATACAACACAATAATATAGAATTGTTATTGATAAAATATACAATTAATAGTATCAAAACAATCAGATTTACGTTCCAAAAACCCAATTTTAAGGGAAATTCCATATAATTTTCAATGAAGCATCTTCGAATTCCGGTTTCATCGCCTCGCAGGCTAGCTAGTAAACCAGCCTTGGAAGCACCCAGTGCCACCCTAAAGTACCACCCTACTCTCCTCCCTCCCGCCTCCCCCCTCCCCCGGTAACCACCCGTAATGAGCGTGTCATTTAGCGTAATTTCACTTGATTGTTATGGCATTACAACAATGCCCCAAGTACAATACACACGCACAACAAAAGCAACGCCAGGGCGAGTGTAGAAGTTTATCTTATCATCGCAGGCTCCTTTTCGCCGGAAAATTGGGAGGATGCCTGGGAAATCGGTGGGGTATATATATATATATACATATATATATATATATATATATATATATATGTATATATGTTGTAAATGCATAATTTATGAATGAAACAGGGCCATTGTTTGTGTTGATTTTGTAGCTTCTTTTTTTAAATTTGAGAAAAGAAAAAACTAAGAAAAACTCACCTGAATCGTTGGTAAAATATTGCGGCATTTTCACTGAGGTTTTCTGTAATTAAAGAAATAAAATGATAATAAATCAAAATAAATTAAACTTAAACTAAATTATTAAAAGTATATAACTGAGATACTAATTTGTACAGAATTCTTAGTACTTGTTAATGATTAATTCGGATAAGTTTATTGTTCAGCTTTTAAGCTAAACATTTACACAAACAATATAAATAGTTTATGGTTAATAATAATTTCAAACTATTTGCTACTATTTTTAATACGCTCAAATATAAACAATTACTATTCGAAAATTTATAAAAAGCATTCAAAATAAGGTTTACAAACTAATAATAACTATTGTTTACAGTTTTGGGAATCGGATTTATATAAGCATATAAATCTTTCTCTATTTATCTCTTTATATGTATATTTATTATTATTATTCATACCGACTCACTTATATTTTAAAATCCCATTTTGCTTCATTAGATGCCGCTCTTCTAATTTACTTATAAATAAATTTCATAATTTGCTTTTCATGCATAAATTTTCAACATAATGCAATTATTTTCTAGCTAACTAAATGCTTTTATATGTATGTATATTTATCTTGTGCATGTTTGTATATTTATTTATTGACTATGATTGTCTAATTTAGTTGAGTATCTCAAGAAGGTCCAAAGGTTTCTTGTTGTTGTTCTTGATTTTTGCAATACGTTATTTGTGCTTCTACTTCTTGTCTCCTATTGTCACCAAATTAATTGGCCAGCTCCTGTTTGCTCCTTGCCTGCTTCTAGGTTTCATCATGTCCTCTTGTTCACTTAAGTGAATATTCCAGACACAGTTCACCCAGCTTCCAGCTTCCTGCTCCCTGCTTCCAGCTTCCTGCTCCTAGCACTCTCTGGCTCACATACAATGCCACTTTTGTTTGGCAGGACACCGATAGGCGTACATGTGACCCATATTAAGCCATCAATGCGATACAAGCAATTTCGTTTAATTAAAACATGCCAATACATTTGCACTTGATTCACTGATTATGATGCCAGAATGTTTGCTAGATTCATCTAGATTCCATTGGGGATGTCAGGAATTTAAAGCACAAAATTCCAGGCAATTAAAACAAGCAAATAAGCAAATACTAAGCTAAAAATATGAAATTAAAGAAATAAAACAAAATAAAACTAAACCTTTTTGATTACCAATTATTACAGCTAATTTTCCCACACTTATTTTCCACATCTTTACTCCTTTTTTTGGGCAAACAGCCAAAAGGCAAAGAAAATAAAGCAAAACAAAAGCGAAACTCCGCCATTATGGCCATTTAATCGAGCGGAAATAAAAGTTCCTAAGCTTCATAAACAAGATTTAATGTGACAAAAAGGCAAATCACAGTGCCAAATGAAAGAATGAAACGAAACGAAATGTGAACCGCGAAACGCATTTGACAAAAATGTCAAATGGCATTTGGGGTTCTCCCCTCCTGAAGGCGGCAAAACACAAAATTTTCACCCTCGCGGGAAAACCTTCTCACCTTTTCCTTCTCCTTAACGAAAAAACGAAAAACAAAAAAGGAAAAGAGGAAAGGAAAGGAAAAGGGAAAAAGGTATCAACTATGTCGTGAAATATCGCGGTCTAGTTACAACTTCAAGCGTTTCCTTTTTGGATTATGAAACCGTAAAAAGCGTTCGTTCTCCCCTCTAATCTTCATTGACTGGAATCCCTTGCTACCTACACACACACACACCCAGACACACACATGCAGGTGTGTGTGTGTGTTTGGCAAATACTTAACACATTCACTCGCCGCCCCGCATTTTGGTTTATTTTCCCCATAACTTTGACTAATGAAAGCAAGGTATATGGGTTGGAAATATACATATACAGAATGAAATTAAATAATATTATAATTATAATAATTAAATATTTAATATGACAATTTTTTAACCAAATAAAATTTTAGAAAACTGATAACTAAACCAAAAAGCACTAATTTCAATTTGGAAAGCGGTTCTAGATTAGTTTTTTTAGGGTTAATAAATCAGCAAACTCCATTTAAAATTGAATTTTTGGACGATTTTTGAAAATTTTAACGTGTAACCCCTTTCTGTTAAAAAAAAAAAAGGGAAATTTTTGAAAAAAAACAATTTTTTCGTTGGATATAGCTAGAAAGATTTGCCTGTTTTTGCTGATCAAGAATATATATAATTTATAGGGTCGGAAATGACTCCTTCACTTAGTTTTAAGCTTCTGACTAAAATTATAATACCATTTTTGGAATCATTAATTATTGATATTTGTATACCCTGGCAGGGTATTATAATTTCAGTCAGAAGTTTGCAACGCAGTAAAGGAGTACTATATAATATAAATGACAGAGAAACGGTTGTTAAATGTAAAGGATCAGTAAGTATCTTTCAACAGTATCAGTATCAATGAACATTAAGTTACTATGATCAGTTAACTCTAAACACTAAGTATCTATGACCAGTAAGTATCTATAATCATTAAGTATCTATAACCAATAAGTCTGTATGATCAGTAAGTAACTTTGAACAGTAAGTAACTCTGAACAGTAAGTATCTATGAACATTAAGTATCTACGAATCCTAATTAACAATGAACAGTATAACTATAAGCAGTAAGCATCTATGATCAGTAATATTTATAACCACCAGTAAATAACTATAAGTAACTCTAATCAGTAATTATCTATTACCAGTAAGTGCGTATGTTTGATCAGTTACTAACTTTGATCACTAATAAACAATGACTTGCAACTTTTGTAACACAACACATATCTGAGACTCGGCCCATAGCAGTCACTTCGTTCCGGGGAGGTTAGAACTAGTTGGGAATCATAAGCACAGATGTGCGAGATTTGTTTTGGAACAAATTTAAGCTATTTGAATGAAACTATGAAGTTATTCTTCTATATAATTTAACTATTATATAAATCAAAGCATGGCGAAGCGGTGGACTATATATATATATATATATATATACATACATATAGCTGCCATAGGAACAATCAGACGATTTATAGAAGAATGACCAGTAATTAACTATGACTAGTAATTAACTATGAGCATTAAGTAACTATGATCAGCAAATAACTCTGAACAGTAAGTATCTATGACCAGTAAGTATCCATGATCAGTAAGTACCCTTGACCAGTAACTATGTATTATACCTAACTAACTTTGAACACTAATAAACAATGACTTGCAACTTTGCAACACAACACATTTCTCAGACGTGGCCGGCAGCGGTCACTTCGTTCCGGGGATGATTGAACCAGTTGGGAATCATATGATATGATGATTAACTATGAAGAGTAAGTATCTATGACCAGTAATTAACTAAGACCAGTAATTAACTAAGACCAGCAAGTACCTATGATCAGTAAGTATCAATGAACATTAAGTAACTCTGAATAGTAAGTATCTATGACCAGTAAGTAACAATGACCAGTAAGTGTCTATGAGCAGTATGTATCTTAGATCAGTTACTAACTTTGAACACTAATAAACAATGACTTGCAACTTTGCAACACAACACATTTCTGAGACGTGGCCGGCAGCGGTCACTTCGTTCCGGGGATGTTTGAACCAGTTGGGAATCATATGATATGAAGATTAACTATGAAGAGTAAGTATCTATGACCAGTAATTAACTAAGACCAGTAATTAACTAGGACCAGCAAGCACCTATGATCAGTAAGTATCAATGAACATTAAGTAACTCTGAACAGTAAGTATCTATGACCAGTAAGTATCCATGATCAGTAAGTATCCTTGACCAGTAACTATGTATGATACCTAACTAACTTTGAACACTAATAAACAATGACTTGCAACTGTGCAACACAACACATTTCTGAGACGTGGCCGGCAGCGGTCACTTCGTTCCGGGGATGTTTGAACCAGTTGGGAATCATAAGCACAGATGTGCGAGTTTTGTTTTGGAACAATAAGCAAGCTATTTGAATGAAGCTATGAAGTTATTCTTCTATATAATTTTACTACTATATAAATCAGAGCATGGCGAATCGGTGGACTATATATATATACATATATATAGCTCCCATAAGAACGATCGGAAAAATTTTAAGAAAAATATTTTAACTTTTCAAGTTTTCAACCGATTTTCATCAAATTTATTATATAGCCATTATATATTAATCTAGAACTTTGTGTAAAATTGTTATGAAAATCAGACTACTATATCATATAGCTGCCATACAAACCATCGTTAAAAATAGATGAAAATGCAAAACGCTGAATAAGTTACTCAAATTAAAATTTCGAAATTGATTTAGTTATACATAATATTATGTTAATAATTTATTCCAAAGTACTATTAAATTCGTAACGAATTCCCTGTAATTTGGGAATCTCCTACCGCCTACCTCCCACCCTCCCTTAAGCCCACCCGCTGAGTTTTCCCCCAAGTGTTTTGTGGTCGACACCTTTAGCGCTCATCCCAAATATTTGCACGCTGGCAATGTCAATAAAGCGGAGAAGAAAGAAAGCGAGGAAACGGAAGTGAAAGACCGGGGAAGGAGAAAGTGCTGGCAAATGGCGGAAACTGGATGGGTGTGTGTGTGCAGAGGGGAAAATTAAGGAAAACCCATGGAAAACCGTGTGGAAATTGTGGCAAGATGAATGCCCCCGATTCGACCGTTGGGTGCGTTGGCAATTAGCAAAGATCTGGAATTTAAACTCGAAATTAGAGGAAGACTCCCTCCCCTCTCTCTCTACCTCCTCTCACAAACTCACAAACGATCTGATTCCAGCAAACTGATAACAGCAAACGGCAACGGCGGTTGGCAATTAATCAACGGCAATCAAAAGACGACTGTGAAAATTACGCAATTGCCAAACAACAAATGCCGACAAGTAGCTATCTAAGTAGTGTCATCAATAAATGTCCCAACGATGTCGGCCACTCCATCAAAAAGCCACTATTATCAAACACACACAACCAGTAGCCGCCGACGAACAACAAAGGGTCCCCCTCTTAGATACCATTTAAGACACAACAAATAAAAATACAAAATACAAAAAGAATAAATAATATATGTAGAAAAAAAACATGCAAAAGGTGTTGTCAATCACGTTGTTGTCAATTGTCAATCGGCTTATCGCCAAATGCAATCAAATCGAAGCAAAAAATCGAATCAAAATACAAAACTTAAGGCAATCGGTAGATAGAGAGGTCTTATCGGCTAAGGGTAAGCGCCAAGCGATAAATCAATCAAATCACAACAACAAAAAAACAAATCAAAGTCAATAATGGCAAATGATAATTAAGCTCAAGTTGATTTAATGAGATGAGAAAATAATATACACAAAAAAAATGTAGGAAGAAAATTTTAAGGCGTATTTCAAATATTACGTAGTAAAATGTAATATATAAATAAAGAAATTAAATAAATTTACTAAAATAGCAAAAATATATATTTAATTATTAATGTAAAAGAATAAACAATATATAATTCCTTCAGAAAAATATATAATATATATTTTAAATATGTTATACATTAAGTACCAAAACTTAAACTAAAATCTAGCAAAAATTCAAATAAACAAATTAAATATATTTCTCTTTTAAAAACCATTAGTAAAGAGTATATATTAATTGTGTTTAATAATGGAATACTTAAATATTTTAAGGCCCGACAAAAAAAATGTTTAAAAATATTTAAATATCTTTATTCAATGGTAAAAATTCAATTTAAAAAATGTATGTAACTTTTATAACCCTAAATGGTTATTTAATTTCATTCAGATGCTTATAACTAAGTGAAGGAGTCATTTTCGACCCTATAAATCATATATATTCTTGATCAGCATCAAAAACCGAATCGATCTAGCCAACTTAGAGGGAAAAATAAAATTTTAAAATTTTTTCAATTTTTTTAAAGGGTTACATCGTTAAAAATTAAAAAAAATTCACAAAAATTTTACATTTTTACTTGAGTATGCAGATTTATTAACCTACTAACCTACTAGGACAGCTTTCCGATTTAAATTTAAGGCATTTTTGGCTTAGTTATGCGGTT